TGCTATTTCAAATGGAACACTTTATTTTATATCATAAATCAACAAATCTTTTATCCAACTTTTGTTTTGTTAAGATCTATATCCCAAATTAATAGTTATTGAATTGTTCTCAATAATTGTCTCTTTGAGAATAAACATGATTTGTTTTTCGCAATTTTTATTAGTAGGTTTGTCGTTAAAAGTGATGTATCTACATATTTATCAGCGACAAAAATTAAGAATTAGATGCCTAAAATAATTTCCTAATTATTTTTTTACTTGGCTTATTTTATCGCTGCAGCTGAAAATAATTATGTATTCCAAAAGAGGACATTACTGTATAAATATCGATTATTTGGATTTAAAAATTATTTTTCAAAACAAAGTTGGAAAAAACTACGTTTATGTCATAAAATGTGGAGTAAAAAACGAACAACCAAACCAAAAACCCAACATCTAGTTTTGACGCCACCAGTATATGTCATGCATTATAGTTGATTATACTGCAATTTATTATACATACGTAGTTTTGTTTGGTGAAAATGAAACTTTCTAAAAGTATTCCCAATTAAAACATATTAAGAATTTCCTACATTATAATTTTGAAAGACGTTTGAGTGGGCAGACAATTTGGTCTAAAATAATCATATGTTTAAAAAAATTAGTCTAAAATAATCAAAAACCACTTAACACATATAACTCGCTTTTAAAAAATCTAAAAGAAATAAGTTTGTTTATTATATTCATATTTTATTAAATTATTATAGGTGTGACTGCTAAGTGGTCGTACTCGCCACTTTAACCAACCATTGGTGGGACCATGGTAGGACCTTCAGAGATTATAATGCGAATTTTTCATACCATGTAAATCTATATACATATATTAATAAATGCGTTTATTTTATTAAATTTGTTTTCTTATACGGTATGAGCGAAAAAAAACGGCGTCTATTTGTTTACGTACAAATATATGACATCGATATTCATTTCCAAGCCACCTCTGACGCCGTTTTTTTTTAACGTATGGTATACACTTACATATCCCTTATCCTTTAAATCCGATTTATTTCTAATAATTATAAAAATAAGATACCTGATTGATTCTTCCGAAATATTATAAAATGAGATATCAGGAAGTAAATAAAGTTAATTATCTCGCTTGTTTTGGGAATTCAAAAAAAGGGTATAGAGAATCTTAAGAGACACAGTTCAAATATTATTTTTGAGTATAATGGGTGCTTCAAAAAATGTGGCGGATATAATGTAACATGTTTTTTAATGCAAAACTCTTATTTATAACTTTTATTTTATTTTCGATTCTGCCTAAAATTCTATAATTTTTTTTATAAATAACGTTAGTATTTGCAAAATAAAATTATTCCTATGTTACATAATTGTCAGTTGTTTCCGAAGTTGGGCTACACAAATTTGGTAGGAGTGTTTTACAGAGGTGAAGAAAAAGATATATGTAAAAATACTTGGAGTTAGATGCTACACTGTGTTTTTTTGGGCTGATCCTATATATTATTATTTTTTCTAGTGATTTTAGAAAACCTTTCAACATTTGTTAAGAAAGTATATTAAGTACATCTATACTCTATACAGCTTGCAATCTGTTCTGAATTTTTCAATTTTTATCCTTCTTTTACTTCATTTACACTATAACAAGTTTTGCCATGACAAAACAAAAATTATTTATTATTAAGCATTAAAGTAATTTATATAGTTATATTAATTATATAGACATTATTAATAGAAATTGAAGAATTTTGTAAAATCTATCAGAAAAAAATATAATATACCGGGTGTTTTTCAAAAGTGGCTTGAGTGACGTATTCAATTAGTTTCGGTTATTTCTTGTTTCACCGGAAATGACTACAACTTGGTTTTTAAATGGTACCGTCGGTATTTTTTTACCTTATTTGACAGAATATGGCATTGTGAATAGAATAATTTAATGTCAACTTTTGACATATTTACTTAAAAATTGTATTTTTAAATTACAATCTAGAGTGCCATGATAAAAAACAACATGTAACCGGTCGTAAAGGTAACGACAGTTTGACTCGATGTACGAAGTGTGTGGCACCAAATTACCTATTTACCAGGTACCAAAAAGGAAAAGACACAAAAAATATTAGACGATCAAATCAATTTTTCCGAAGCTCCTTGATTAAAAATTAATGGTTTTAACACAGCCATGACACTAGATTGAATTTTAAAATGCTATTTTTTTTAATTGAAAATGTCAAAAGTTGACATATGATATATGTCATTCTATTCGGAATGTAATTTTCTATCAAATAAAGTATAAAAAATACCGAGGGTACCATTTAAAAATCAAATGTTGTACTCGTACATATAAATTTCCGGTGAAACAGGAAGTGACCGAAACTAACGGAATACGAATCAATCTCGATTTATGTCATATACCTACTAACATTCCGAATTTGGTAAACCCCGAGTTTAATTTTGTTATCTCAAAAAATAAAAAAAAGTTATAGAGGTGAACCACTTTTGAAAAAACACTCAGTATAGGCTGCGTCATTGAAAGAATCTGCAGATATTTTTCTATTTTAAATACGTAGTCGAATTTCAAAAATATATATTGAACACCCTGTAGCATCTACCTTAAATATCTACATATAAATATCTAATATTTTTTCTTCATCAACAAATTGAAATATTATAAAACTAGTTTTAGCTTACACCATTATACAAGAAATATACTTAAAAAAAGTAATAGAATTTTACGCAGAATCTAAAATAAAATAAGATGTTACATTTAAAAAAAACATTATGTTAAATCCGCCACACTTTTTACAAAGTTACAGACGTAGGTAGGTATAGTTTCATATTATATTCTTTAATTATCCATCTAAAAATAAAATATTTATATACCTAATATCATACTTTAGTATCCAACAAGTGGCCATGAAAATCAAAATAAATATAAATCCATGTCCAAAAATAAAAAATGTAAATAACGCTTTGAGGTATAAATTCGGTTCGAATCAGATAAGATATTTTATTCTTTACCGAGAATTAAATTCGAAGAATTCCTAGTCCCTACTTCTTTGCCAAATTCAATAGTCTCCGCCCCTTTTTACGTTTTAATTTCTGCCACCAGTTGGCAGCATCGACTTATACAGGCACATTGACTAACTATTAATATATAAACAAGGGTTGTACTATTGGTACATCTCTAATAAATAAAATAAGCATTGTAAATAAAATAAATCATCTAATTTTTATAATCCTTTTAGACAGTAAAATATTTTCTAACGATATTTTTTTTTAATAAGCTGATAGTAAGAATAAAATTATAAATTGTTTAAAATTTTGTAAATCAATTATTTACTAAGCAAAACTATATATTTTTCTAAGCGGTTTTTTAATATTACTTAGGTGTGCTTAGGTGTACTTTATCGCGAGACTCTGTTGTCGCGGTTTTACGTTTCGTGTTCAGAGATACGATTTGAGTTGGTCTTGCAAATTTTCTCGCGTTCTTTTGTCGTTTCTTGACTCGAACTTCTTGACCTACCTCAAATAAATCTGGGTTGTCACGGTCTTTGTAGACGTTCGATAACCTCGTTAGATTATCGTAGATAACCTCGTGGGTGATTTGGAAAACAAAAGTGTATTTTAATTTTATGCAACTGTAATAATTCAGTAACAACAGTATTCTTAAACTCTGTACCATCATCAATGACAATTTGTTTTGATACGCCATGATGTGAGAAGAAAGATAATAATTTATCGACAATTTCTGTACCCGAAGCTGATTGTATTGCGTACGCTTGTGCGTATTTTGAGAAACTATCTGTTATCGTTAAGAATTTTCCTTGTTCGAGAGTATAAGTGTCTCGCGTTCTTTATTATTTATTTATTTCTTTATTAATTCGAAATATTATAAAAAAAGTATAATATTTCGAATGGTTGTGTAGGTGTGGGTGTTATTTTCATTATCATTTTTACAGGGTGTTGCTCGTATTTTGTCTTTTGGCATATTTCGGGGGTTTCTTCATCGAAATTATTAAAATTAAAATTTTCAATAGAAACGCGACCAAATTTTTCGGCTTCGATTGGTTCGCAAAAATTTAAAGAAATAGAATCGTCGGTATTATTCAAAATTGTTGTAACAACTTTTTTATTTCGAGCTATAGTTAAAGACTCCGGTATCTCGCAATTATGCAGTTTTTGATAAGGTGCTATGGTCTCACCGTTTTTTATAGTTGTTTTAATTCCAATGACCTGCTCCGCACGTGGCGATACTGTAATACAGTTCAACCTTGTTTGAGTGCGATGATACTGTAATTTTATCTTCGCGTGCGGTGTTAACAAGAATCCGTTTTCAAAATCTAAGTTAGCTCGTAAAAGTTTCAAATTATCAAGTCCTAGAAGTCCATCAAACACGTTATGAAATTTAAAGACTCCGGTATCTCGCAATTATGCAGTTTTTGATAAGGTGCTATGGTCTCACCGTTTTTTATAGTTGTTTTAATTCCAATGACCTGCTCCGCACGTGGCGATACTGTAATACAGTTCAAACTTGTTTGAGTGCGATGATACTGTAATTTTATCTTCGCGTGTGGTGTTAACAAGAATCCGTTTTCAAAATCTAAGTTAGCTCGTAAAAGTTTCAAATTATCAAGTCCTAGAAGTCCATCAAACACGTTATGAAATTTGAATAAATAGAATTTTAATTTTTTGTTTTTAGATAAGTTGAATATTCTTGAAATAGAAATATTTGCACTATATTGATGTGCCGATTTTTTGAAAAACTGTTGACACTATAAATGGATCTTTAATAATATTTTGTGAATAAAATTTTTCTGCAATATGTGGATTTAAAAATGATTGAGTTGAACCTGAATCGATAAGTATTTTAAATTTTGTTCTGGAAAAATTACAAAGGGTAACTCACTAGGGCTAAACATATTAAAGGAAATAATTTCTGGTGTTGTGTATTTTTGGTTGTCGAGGAAATTTTCGTTTTCTTGTTCTTGTGAAAAAATTGTTTAAATTTTCGGTATTATAAAATCAGTTTCATACTCGTTTTCGAAGTTATCACTCTGAATTTCAGATTGAGATTTTTGTTCATTTTCCGTTTTGATATTATATAGTTCCTCAAAGGCAAATTGAGGTGGACGGAAATTATTAAAATTAGGATTGTTATTCGGCCTAAAGCTATTAGATGTTTGGTTTGTTGAAATGCTCATAGGCGTGGAACGTGAATTATTAAAATTAGGATTGTTATTCGGCCTAAATCTATTAGATATTTGGTTTGTTGAAATGCTCATAGGCGTGGTATTAAGTTGTGGCAAATTTGGATTCGGTCTAGTAAAATTTGGTTTTCCAAAAACTTGCGAATTTATGAAAAACTCTTGCGGTTGTTGATTTACATTAGGCCTAATTTGAATAGGCTGTGAGGGAAACACGGGCTTTTGTGCAAAATTATTTTGTGTGTTATTATGAGTATTAGGATTAAATGGTTGAAAATTAGGCTGAAAGTTAGGTCTAAAATTATTGGAAAATACGTTTTGATTTTCAAAACTATTTGTACTGTTGTTAGATAAATTATTAGACAATTGAGGTTTAGGCATAAATTTTCCTGAATTTTGTAAATAATGAATATTATGTTCTTCACTCACAAACTGTAGGGCTTCCATTAACTTTTGAGGGTGCATACAACGTATTGTTGTACCCAGAGGCTCCCTTAACCCCGATAAAAATGTTTTCAAGGCAAGTTCATTATACAATTTTCTTTTTAAATTTTAGCTGTTTCTGTTAATTCATATAAATCAATATGCGAACACAGTCAATTTAGCATATGGAGAACTCTATCGTGAAATTGATTGGGTTTTCATTAGGATTTTGTCGCAACATAACCAAATCTCTGTTAAGGCATACTTCAACTCTTTGATCGGCAAAATTACGTCGAAGAGTGTCTTTTAACTCGTCCCAAGTTTTAACGTTCTGTATATTAACAATTAATTTTGCATTTCCCGTCAATTTTCCGATCAACGAGTTAAGTAAATAAGTATTTTGAAAATTCTGTGGTTCAGCAGCAATATAAAAATTATCAATTAGACTCTGACAAGTTACTAAGTATGTATTTAGATCATTTGGGTTACCGTCAAAGAACGGAACACAGTTTAGATATTCTGGTTTTAAAGACATTTTTACGTTTAAAATTAAATTATTTTCTCTAAAATTTCTTAAATTATTAGGTACACTAGGGTCACTTGAAGGCGTTAAATTTAAATTTTGTAAATTATTTATAATATTTTCGAGCTCAGACATTAAATTAAAAATTGCACTTACATTAGTATTTTGGCCATTCTTTTTCTATAAGAATCAGGTCTCTGGTTAGCGATGCTGTCTTCCCAAATTACTGGTTCTTGCGAAATTCGACGATGCTGTTCAAATTCCTGTGGAGTTGATGTTCTGAAGACCAATCTTCGGTAGACCAAAATCTTCTTTCTTGAACACTACTCTGTTTTGGACAGTTTTTGGTTGATCGTTAAACGAAAAATTCAACGTACGATACGCTAGAATCCCAAAAACATCCTACCGACTGCGCCAGTTAAATAACTAGAACAGCCAAATTCGTTTAAAAATATTTATTTATTAAAATTACAACTTTTAAAAATGGCATCTGCCTGAACAATAACTAGTAAAAAGAAATACAAGTTGTCTAAGCTAGTAGAAAAAATGTCTATGCTGCCGCGGCGACGCGTGCTGCGGGTATATCAGCGAAATATGATGAACCAGCACTTCTGGGGTAGCGTCACGACATAACTCGTGTAACAAATAGTTTTTACACGTAAAAATATTTTTTTTGCGTAAGAATGTTTTCTACCAGAAACAATAAGTTTTGACGCGTAAAGAAATAGTTTTTTACGTTAAAACAAATAGTTTTATATGCGTAAAAAATAGTTTTCTACCAGTAACAAATAGTTTTATACGCGTAAAAATAGTTTTCTACCAGTAACAAATAGTTTTATACGCGTAAAAATAGTTTATTACGTGTAACAGTTTTATTCGCAGAAAATAATAAAAATAGTTTTTACGTGTAACAAATGCTTTTTACACGTAATTTTGATTCACTTTACAAAATTTGTATTATATTTTGATCAACACGTGTACTGATCACAAATAGTCGCGTCACTACGTATTTTTAAGCCGTTAACACGTTTCGTTACAACGAGCTCGTGTGTCAAGGCCGTCTCACTAGCTCGTATGTCACGGCCTTGAATTTTTACTCCCAGAGCGCGTAAAGAAGTTTCGTATTCTATTATATAATTATAATTATTTATTATATTATATTATAATTATTACAAGTACTAACCACAACACTACAATATAAAAAAACTATACACATATAAACTAAAATTCGTAATATAAATGGCAAATAATAATTATTATTTTTACACACACCACTGGCACTAGCAGTAGATTGTGTTTGTCTCCGAATATATGCCCCGGCCCGTCCACAATTCAATCCCAGCATCTTTTTTCTTCGTCTTTTCAACGCTAACGGCGCCGATCTCGCCTATCTCTTTCTCACAGGATTGATTGTTGGACGGGCCGGGAATCCACGAGCTTGCGACGTTACTAATTGGCATCTTGATAGAAACTGCAAACCTGCCGCGTCTTTTGCGTGTTTTTAATGGACACAAATCGATAAAAACGCTTAAAACGGTAAAATCGCAAAAAGCGCTTGAGACGCAAAAAACGCAAAACGCTTAAAACGCTTTCTGTGTGGCCGTGGGCTTAACGGTTTTAGAGAAAAAAAATATTTATAATTTTTGGAGGAAAAAAACTGCCTCTCAAAAATATGTATATAGCGTAAACCTCAAATTTAGTGATTACCACAGTCACTGTACCATAAAGAGAAGATAGAATTGAGCTATTAAAAAATTATCATAAATAATTTTTTTTTCAAATGGAAATCCACTTTTTTTATTTCACTCGTGAAAAGACTTTCGTTACTTTCGTTTTTTTTTTTTTAATTATAAATAAAATTTGTTAGTTTTTGACTATACATGTTCTTGTACCTAAAATAAATCGTTTTTAAGTTATTTAAGATTCAGCTTTAAAGCGTACATTTTTCTTGATTTTAACGAGTAGCCTATAACAGTATATTATAGATCATTATTTCCAAGCTAACTTTGGGCGCTATTTTTTTTCGATCGTACGGTATATTATTAAAATATCAACTATTATATATCACTAAAGAACGAAAATACGAGATATATTTATATAAATACACTTTTTAAACTTTTAAGACAACAGCAGTAGTTATAATATAGGAAATTCAAATAATTAATTCATTTTCTGACAGCTGTAAATAAATTGTCTGACTGTTTGACACTTAATGTCAAAGGAAGCGAGATAAAATCAAGAAAAATATACGTTTTCAAACTAAATCTTAAATAACTTAAAAACGATTTATTTTAGATATAGGAATATGTCTAGTTAAAATGTAACGAATTGGAAAACCTTTTCACTAGTGAAATAAAAAAAGTGGGTTTCCATTTGAAAAAAAATATTTATGATAATTTTTTATCGCCCAATTCCATGACAGCTACCGCCATTATTATATGACATTTGAACAATTTAATTTTTGAAATAAATAGCCACATGGCTTTTCTTTATGTCACAGGGGCTGTGATAATCACTAAATTTGACTTTTAGGTTGTACAAATTTTTTTGGCTTGTTTGACGTAAGATTTCTTCTAATGTTGCTGTAAACAGCTTTGTGGATATCGCGTCTTCCTGTCGTACTCCTTTGCCAATTGGGAACTCTGGGGGGTTTTATATTTCATTACTCTTGCTTACTTGGCTTCTTTGTATATATTGGCGAGAGTTTCTATGTAGGGGGCCCCATCTACACGTGTTTTAACTGTTTTGAAGAGTAATAACTTTTTGTCCGTACCTGTATAAAGCTACTCTAGGAGTCAAAGCATATACATTTTTTTACGTAAAAAATGTCTCTTGGTTAAAATCGCTACGAGCGAACCGTTCTCAAGATATTTAGAATGGAAATAGTCAGTACATGTCATTATTGACAAAAAATAAACATATGTTGAGTAGATAGTTATTTGACAGAAATGATAAATTTAGTATTTTTTTTTAATTAATCATGACTTTCTTCGAAAATCAAATTTCTCATCACAAAAAATTCCCAGACACCAATTTTTATCTAAATATTGACTTTACTTCAAAAAATTAAGATTTTCGAAAAAAATCGAAATAAAAATGAAACTTCTACACCATGTATCTCCGAAACTAAGCATTTTAGGACATACATTTATACGTTTTTGAAATTCAGCTCTTTTGAATATTTTTATATTGGAGTTCAAATTTATAAAAAAAATCACAAAAAAAACAGTTTGATAATGACTTAGTATGCCCTTTGTGTTTGAAATTTTCAAAAATTAAGATTATAATTGACTTAGTACCAAACTCTAAATATTCTATACTTAAAATATATGTTTCGATATGTTATAATAACCGTATATACTGAGATTAAAGGAGAATAAAGACCTTTAAAATGCATATATTATACGTTGCATATAAAAAACTAATATGAAATACGTATACTATTTATACCTTTAAAACGATATACGACATTTATACGAGTGGTACGTTTATTAAAGGTATATACTCTTGAACTGTGTTGCTTGGGAATGCATTTTTCTCAAAATGTCAATAATAAATAAATTTTTCCTCTTATAAAGACAATCCGGGGACATACTGTATATAGTATAGAGTTATATTTATTTTTATATAACTATGTTTTAGCTAATATTTCTGTACAGGGTGTCCCCCACTAATAATAGCTTACGGAAAAAAATATTTATAACAAAAGAGGCTATGAGAAATTGCTGGAAATTAGTTTCAAGTTTGTAAAACGGCCGCTAGTGGGCGTAACTGCTATAGAAAATAATAAAATAGAATTTTTACAGAATTTTGCCTAAATAATGTGTACTATAAATAATAGCTTCATAATCTTCAGTAAATTTTGGATTTTTTTGTTAGAACCATTTTCCCCTATCTGCTAAAATAAAGGGGTGGGGGAAGGTTAGATCTATCTTTATTTAAATGTTAATAACTCCGGACTGGATGATCAGAATCCAATAAACAGGGCTTGTTTAAAAGAGCGTTTCTTACTCTATATTATAGCATAAAAATAATATCAAGGTTTTGAACGTAGACGCTAGGGGGCGCTTTCTTACAATTACTAAAACATAACGCGTTTTTTCAAAAAAAATTAAATACTATAGTATATGTAATTTTAGCTAATACTAAAGAGTAGTAAAAGTTTAAAAAGTCAACGAGAACCGCATCTTGATATCTTCTTTCAAACCGAAGATATTAGCAAAATTATAATAAATACCAAAAAATAAGCCTTTAATTACCTTATTTTTACAACACTGTATCAGTAGCCCTCTTGATTATGCCCATTCTAACAAAAAAATAAGATAGAAACAGTTTATTTTAAAATCGACGAAATACCAGAATACCATAATACCAGATGTATTAATATCTAATAATTAAGATATTAATAACAGTGAACAAGAAACGATGATTTAGTGAAGTCATGATAGACTTTGCAAAAAAGTTGCTTTTGACGTAATAGTATAAACGTCAAATTGTTATTAGATCAACATTTTGATAGTCTTAGCAGCGTTTTTTTATCTTTTAATTGCTTTTTCAAAATGCCCTTATTATTTGGAGTAGTTGAATAAGTTGTTGACATTTTGAAAAAGCAATCAAAAGATAAAAGACTATCAAAATGTTGATCTAATAACAATTTAACGTTTACACTATTACTTCAAAAGCAATTTTTTTTCCAAAGCCTACCATGACTTCACTGAATCATCGTTTCTCTTGTGTGTTCACTGTTATTAATATCTTAGTTATTACATATTAATACATCTGGTATTATGGTATTCTGGTATTTCGTCAATTTTAAAATAAACTAACTGTTTCAATCTTATTTTTTTGTTAGAATGGGCATAATCAAGAGGGCTACTGATACCGTATTGTAAAAATAAGATAATTAAGGGCTTATTTTTTGGTATTTATTATAATTTTGCTAATATCTTCGGTTTGAAAGAAGATATCAAGATGCGGTTTTCCCTGACTTTTTAAGCTTTTACTACTCTTTAGTATCAGCTAAAATTACATATACTATCGTACTTATTTTTTTTGAAAAAACGCGCTATGTTTGTTAAATTGTAAGAAAGCGCCCCATAGCGTCTACGTTCAACACCTTACTATTATTATTATTATGCTATAATATAGAGTAAGAAGCGCTCTTTTAAACGAGCCCTCGTTTATTGGATTCTGATCATCCAATCCGGAGTTATTAACATTTAAGTAAAGATAGATCTAACCTTCCCCACCACTTTATTTTAGCAGATAGGGGAAAATGAAAAAAAATCCAAATTTTTCTGAAGATTATGAAGCTATTATTTATAGTACACATTATCTGGGCAAAATTCTGTAAAAATTCTATTTTCTTATTTTCAATCGGCCGTTTTACAAACTTGAAAATAATTTCCAGCAATTTTCCCATAGCCCCTTTACTTTTATAAATATTTTTTTCCGCGCGTTCTACGGCTAATACTTTCCGAGATATAGACTTAGTGGGACACCCTGTACATTTAAATTATCTATTATTGCCCGCATATTTTTCAACTAGATTAAATTTAATACGTCAAATAAGGATTATATCTGATATAAAGTATTGTCAGAACACTAACTGAATCAGAAACTTGGCTCGCCCTGTATAAAGTAACAATTTAATTATTAAATGTTTTAAGTTTAAACTAACTTAGTTTAATCTATAACAAAATATAAAAGAATTTTTATACATTTTTACGATATTTTTGTTCATAATTAACACGGTAACAAAGAGAAATTAATTGGAGAATTAAAAAAAAATAAAAACGCTGTTTTTTACCTTCGTGGTGTACCTATTGATAATTATTCTAATTCTTATAATCTTACACGAAAAAAAAAAGAAAATATCGTCTTCTAGAAGAGCATCTGCATCATTTTTTGTCCTTAAAACACTCTAAATATTAGTATAGTTATTATTGCTTTTTTTGGCACAATATATCGATAGGAATATAGGGCTAAATTTAAAATAACTCTAGTTGAGTTCAGTGTTTGGCTGTGTGAATATTATTTTAAATTGACTATGGCTTTTTCTAAGGCTTCAAGATTCCACGAACAAATTACATGTAAGTTATACAATCTTCTTTAACTTGACTTGTTGAACTTCCTCCCTGACTTGCTGAAGAGACTTTATACCGGGTGCGCCACAAAAGTGGCTCACCCCTATAACTTTTTTATTTTTTCAGTTAAAAAACGAGATTTGGTATGTTAGTATATGACATAAATTAGGATTGATTGACGTATTCAATTGTTTTTGGTCACTTCCTGTTTCACCAGAAATGGTTACAACTTTTGATTTTTAAATAGCACCCTCTGCATTTTTTTTACTTTATTCGATAGAAAATAACACTCTGAATCCCAAATGACGTATCACATGTCAAGTTTTGACATTTTCGCATATGGTTTATTTCAAATGATAACTTGCGGTTTGTAACGAATATTTGACTCGAAATGCCAAGTGTGTGGTATCAAATTATTCGTAAAAAATGCTTTTTCCAAATATTCTAATAATCCACCCGTTCCATTTGAAAAAATTGAAACATGATTAAAAATACGATTTGAGCATTTTTCAACTGGCCAGGACAAGACACTAAAAACATTAGACGATCAAATCTATTTTTCCAAGGTTCCTTGATTAAGAATTAGCGTTTTTAACATAGTCATATAGTCATAGACACTCTAGATTGTAATTTAAAATACGATTTTTTATAAAGCAAGAATGTCAAAAGTTGACATATGTATAATATGTCATTAGAATGTCATTTTCTATCGAATGAAGTAAAAAATACTGAGGGTGCCATTTTAAAATCAAAAGTTGTAGTTATTTCCGGTGAAATAGGAAGTGACCCAAAACAATTGAATACGTCAATCAATCCTGATTTATGTTATATACTAACATACCAAATCTCGTTTGTTATCTCAAAAAATGAAAAAGTTATAGAGGTGAGCCACTTTTGAGACGCATCCGGTATACCGAGTGTTTCTCAAAAGTGGCTATAACCCCTATAACTTTTTTATTTTTTTTATTAAAAATCGAGATTTGATAAATTAGTATACAGGGTGGTGACAATTTCGATGATCAACATTGGCATCTCAGAAAGTACGATAGATACGAAATCGGTTAATGAGACAAAAGATGCGTAATTAGAAGTTTGACAAACATCTATGAAGAAAACCCCAGTATCTTGATTAGTTTCGGATTTATGTAAAAAAAATTAAAATAATCCGTTTATTTTAAATGAGAGTATCTTCAGAACTAGTGTATCTATTGCAGCATAAGTTGGTAGTTTTATATTTTTGACACCGGCCAATTAAATGCCGTTTTCAGAAAATTTCTAAGCTTTCTAGATTTCACAACAACAACAGTCAACTTTTTGTTTTCTTATGGCCGCCATTTTGAATTTTTATACTATTAGATAGAGTAAAAAATAATCTATACGGTGGTGTCTAATTTTTATTCATTATTATGTACATTCACCAAAAAAAAATGTTTTTTTAAAAATTCGCTCAAAAGATCAAGTCTGCCTTGGAAATCGAATTGACACTTTATATGACAGCAAGTTAATTTTGGTTTACTCTATTAAGTATCAGATCTGGACACAAAAAATTATAGTAGATTAGTAAAGTGTATTAACAGTCAACAATATGTTCACAAGTGAGGAAACACGAGATATGTATGATGTTTACTTAAAAAATAATAGAAATTCCGATATGGCATGCGCAAGTTATGGAACATTGTATCCTGAAAGGACTCAAGCTCATCGTACTATTCTCGCAAAGGATTTCAAGATATTTAGCAGTTGCTGGTTGCTGGTAGCTTTAAAAAACAAGAGGGCACTATTTTAAAAAAGCTTATTATATTAATGTACCAGCTTAGAATGAAATAAATCCGGAAAGTTCTAGTCGTAAAATAAGTCGCAAGTGTTTTGTAAGTGACTCTTATGTAGGGAAAATTATCAAAAAACATAAATATCGCAATAATATGATTTTTTTTCTGTTAAATGTACCAGAATTTGTAAATAGAGATTCAACCGTCCCTGATATTTTTATAGAAAAAAGAGGGCTCTCTTGAACATCTTCCCGAAACCGTTTACAAAATTGTAATCTTCTTTCGTAATCACCAGCATGTAAAAATGGTAAACTTGGTAAACATTTAAATTAAAAGTTGCGATATTTATATTTTTTGATAATTTTCCCTACATAAGAGTCACTTACACAACACTTGCGACTTATTTTACGACTAGAACTTTCCGGATTCATTTCAATCTAAGCTGGTACTTAATATCATAAACATCAAACATATCTCGTGTTTTCTCACTGGTGAACATATTGTTTACTGTTAATCGAGCTGTTAATACACCTTACACTATCTACTATAATTTTTTGTGTCCAGATTTGATAATTAATGGAGTAAACCAAAGTTAACTTGCTGTCATATAAAGTGTCAATTGGATTTCCAAGGCAGACTTGTAGGCCAGTGCAAATAATTTTGAATTTGCAAAAATTTTTAGAAAGCTGCGACCATTGAAAATAGTTAGCCTTAGTAACCCTTATTAACATACTAAAAGTACCCATTTGTCCGATGTGTGCGTCATCAAAAAAATCGGCCGCCATCTTGAATTTTGGTACTTTTTGGGAAAAAATGTAAATAACTCGAAAACAGTGCGTTATAGCGAAAAACTTCGAGAGGTAAAACTTAAAGAGAATAAAAAACTCTATGAGAATCAATAATAGAATAGTTTATTATCCTAACGCAGTGACGTACAATTTTTTTTTGAAAATCGAGCAATTTTTAAAAGGAATCACCGAAATGCAAATTACTATTTTTTTAAGCTTATTAACAAGTAACATGGATATTTAGCATCAATTCAACTAAAATACAGTCCTTGTGACATTTTCAAGAAATATTTATAGGTGGTTTAATAATATTTCAAAATTAACAAAAATTGTCAAAGCTATCCTTTACTAAATACATGTGTACTAATAATGTGCGACAGCAGCCTCCACCTTGTTCCGGTCGGGGCTATTTGCACTTAAACCAAGGTCTTTTTATTACCATTTTGTAAACAACTTGTTTTTAAAAATACAGTGACAGTTTGAAAAATTAGGCTACAGGTTGGAAGAAAAAAATAAAATGTAATAAACTACTTGCGAATGTCTTTTTGACATAAATATCATCTACGATCTTAACCTAAGATCTTAACACTTTTTCATTATGATAAATACATTATAAACATACCCCTACAAATCGAATAACAATAATTCAAATTATGACCATTTTAATAAAAATGTGTTACCAACTTGTAACCTAACTTTTCAAACTGTCATCTCCAGAAAAAAAAATGAAATTTACAATTTTATTCGATTTGTTCTTCATCGACCGATATTTGTTTGTTCTCGCAAGAAATACCATTACAGTTACCTCACAAGCATGAACATGGCGTATTGGATTTTAAACATGTACCATTGCGATTAAAAAAAAATAGTACAACAAAATATGATTTAATCTGCTGGTCTATATTCTTGTGTCAGTGTCACGTAATTTTTAAAAAATGCCTTTAACTTCAGAGCAAAAATCGATTATATTTACGCGATTAAGGGATGGGGTTCCCATCTCGGTTCCCATAAAGGACATTGCAGATGCATTAGGGATAAACAAAAAAACAGTGTTGTTGGGTAAATCCAAAAAAAAAATTCAATATAATTCAAATATCCTTATAGACCAGGAGTTCCATCTGGGACTACTAATTCTTGTACTAATTTTTTTTATCGCAATGGTACATAGTTTATTACATCCAGATTTGCAATTACAGTAAATCTTTTTCAATACAAATTCTGGTGCCACTGCGTTTGACATTGTTTTTGGAACTGAGGTATCCGTTTTTTTACTCCATCCACATTCTGTTGCCTCTTCTCGTTATTAAGCGAATACTGCATTTATAAATAGGTCCTATAATAATGATTATCAGCTGCGTTAGTTGTTGGAGGTAAGGTAGCTAAATCAAAATTTTTACTATAAGTACCTGACGAGATGTAAGGGCTTATATTTAAAATACCTCAACTGATCTAAATCTTTTGCTAGCCTATGTCGACCATATAATGAAAATAAGAATGTATTTCCAGCTTCGACTAGCTCAGATTTTTGCTGCAGGATCTAAAAAAAACCGATGTAATTTTTCGCAGATGAGGATCTTTTTGCAACGTTTTGAAAGTCGCCAGTTTACATTACATTTAATTTTTTTCTTCCAACCTGTAGCCTAATTTTTCAAACTGTCACTGTATTTTTAAAAACAAGTTGTTTACAAATTGGTAACAATAAGACCTTGGTTTAAGTGCATATAGCCCCGACCGGGACAAGGTGGAGACTGCTTTCGCACATTATTAGTACACATGTATTTAGTAAAGGATAGCTTTTACAATTTTTGTTAATTTTGAAATATCATTAACCCACCAATAAAAAATATTTCTTGAAAATGTCACAAGGATTGTATTTCAGTTGAATTGATGCTAAATATCCATGTTATTTGTTAATAAGCTTAAAAAATTAGTAATTTGCATTTCGGTGATGCCTTTTAAAAATTGCTCGATTTTCAATTTTTTTTGTATGTCATTGCGTTAGGATAATAAACTATGTTTTATTGATTCTAATAGAGTTTTTTATTCTCTTTAATTTTAACCTCTTGAAGTTTTGCGCGATAACAAACCGTTTTCGAGTTATTTACATTTTTTCCCAAAAAGTACTAAGATGGCGGCCGATTTTTTTTGATGACGCACACATCGGACAAATGGGGACTTTTAGTATGTTAATAAGGGTTACTAAGGCTAACTATTTTCAATGGTCGCAGCTTTCTAAAAAATTTTGCAATTTCATGGGGTCTTTTCATTTGCAAAATACTGGAGTATTGATCTATAAAAATTAGATACCACCGTATAGATTATTTTTTGCTCTATCTAATAGTATCAAATCCAAACTGGCGGCCATAAGAAAACAAAAGCTTGACTGTTGTGCGAAATCTAGAAGGCTTAGAAATTTTCTGAAAACGGCATTTAATTGGCCGGGGCCAAA